CATGGGATGCCCTGCTCTCTTGCCTTGTACCTTTTTTCCACCTCTGCATGAGAAAATAATAGTGACACTTGCAGGCACATAAGAATTTTTAGCTCTCCCTTATAGGCCTAATACTCTTATTCACCTTTTGCTCTGACTACCTGCTGTCACGTTCTCCCTATCCTAGATTGTGTGGTCACGTACCGTGCTACTCAAAGTGTGACTTATAGACCTGTGCCAATTTATACTGGTCCCTGATTATGTAAGGACAAAAATTGCAAAAAGGCATTTAGAAATTTTGATAACAATTTGGCAATTTTGTCTGTTGAATCTAACTAAATATTTGGCTGGCATTTTGCATTTTAAAGAATTTTATTCTCTGGTAATAAATCATTATCTTTCTGTCCATCCCACAGTCCACATGGATTGTAGAGCTGGAGAAGAAACAAAAACACTTGGTGGCTCACTACAGACAGTTTGCTCTAATGTACTCTATTTCTCTAATAATTTCCTCCCTTCATGCCTTTGCTTATTTTTAGGCTAATTCTGCTTCTCTCTTAAAACCCAATGGTAATAACCTCTCTTTCATGAGTTTTTCCCGAGTCTCCTACACTGAAGTTCTTTGCATTTCTGCTGAAATCTTATAACCAGGGCTTATTGAATGTGGTATCATTTAACATTCTATCCAAATGCACTTGCTTCTTTACAGTGCCATCTTGGAGGCTGTGCCACCCAATACAATCACAGTGGATAAGAGCATGGGTTTTGAAGTCATAGATATTTGCATTAGAATTCTGAATTCTGTCATTTATGAGGTGGCAAACTTCGGGTTTGTCAGCTAGTCTCTTGTGCCTCCACTTCCTCATTTTTCAGATGGCACTATTGGCAGGACCTATGTCTTTAGGTTGCTGTGAGGATTAAATGAAATGGTACGTTCAAAACATTAAGTGTACAGTTCCTGGTGCATACTAACCACCCAATAAATGACTGGTAATATGTTTTCCATTGTTGATATTAGCAACACTTTTAGAATGTTTTTTTAATGCTTTTGTTCAGGCATTGCCTGAAATAGTCATTTAGTTACATTGTTTTGAGGAAATAGAAGATATGAAGAAACTACCACAGCTGTTTTGATAGACTCACATTTTGATGACACATCTAGAACAGGTGCTGTGCAAAATGGTGGAAAAGTCATTTCTGTGGATTTCTGATGGTTTGGAGAGCTCGTCAGTGTGGCAGAGGCATCCTTCTTTGAGCTCTGTGAGCATAACTGACTCACTTGTAGGATATTTTTTCATACAGGCAAAACTAACACTACCAAAAGGAAAATGGAATTAAAAAAAGAAACTTTAGAAGAAGGCAATATCTCTAAAAATAAACCCCACCAGTAAAATATTTGGCTGGAACACCTGGATTTTTCTGAGTATAATTTTAGTTAGGTAAACATTGAAAAGATATATTTCCCTAAAAGAAGAAAGAGTAATTTTATGAAAAATGATGGTTAGCAGTACTCTTCAAATTCAAAAGATCAATTTTGCAAAATGTTTTCTTTGTTTTAAAGAATGAGATGTGATTTTAAACCAGCTGAAATAATGATCAACAGTCACAGTCACTTAACTGACAAAATCTTAATCCAGAGTCTTTGTAGGATAATTATCTAAGAACAGGGACACCTAGATGTGTCTGTGATGAACACCACTGCTAAATCATGAGATAGTTAAATGATTGTTTTCATGTGTGCACTAAACAAGTTTATTAAAACCATATTATGGATTCATAGCTATCCAGAATATACTTTATTAGGCATTAAAAAATAGGTGAACTCTCTTTAAAGTAAGCATAAATATATTCAATATATAGCTAAGTTAAATGCCAAGCAAAATGCCACTGAATTTAAAGGAGTGGATTATGGTATATTGAATGTGAATCAAAAGGAAGACTGTAAACAAAATTCTGAGAAGAGCTAGGGAACAAGATTTAAGAGCTACTTAAGCCCTTACTAGACAAAGGCAATAATACAAAGATATAATTTACTACAGTTGGACGATTTGAAAAACAAAGCAAAACCCAGGTATTTAAGACCTTCCAATCTGATTCTAAATGTGTGTGTGTATATACATACACTCAACAGGTCTTTGCATACCCACTGAATATATGCATAGATCTAAATAAAAAGAGTGGTAAGCATTTTCTGAAAGGGCAGTTGAACTGAACATACACCCGTGTTCAATAATAAAATCTGTTAGACTTGAATGGCATAATGGTCTATCGGGGAAGTGGTGAGATCATCACAGATCATTGAGTGATTCAAAATTAGATCAGACAAAACAGTTTAAAAATACTCTGTAGGAAACAATCTAACATTGGGAAAGCAATAAAAACGATGATCTAAGTCAGTATTTTCCATCTCTAACTTTTAGTACTTTCTTGTAGCTTAAAAACAGAAAAACATAATACAGAAGTACTGAAAGATAGGGTCTAAACCTTTAAATGCTTATACTTTCACATGAATATGTATGATACTCATGGCTTTGCTATAAAAACAACAGAAATGTACTATTATGTCTCAGCACATGCCTTACTATTATGAAATCCACAATGATGAAAGGGTTCAGAGCATTATGTAAGAAGTGTTTGGTAGATTTGTCCTTCAAAATTAACTTTGAAACACATTTATCCAATATAACAGACCTTGATGTTGTAGTCAATATCAGATAGGATCTAGTTTCCATATATAATGTCATTATAACTGGATATAAACATATGATGATGATAGAACAATGGTATAGAGATTCATTGATAATTATTTGCTAATATATATTTAAAAGGAGAGACTGGATGAGGAGTTTCTGGAAGAGTTATTTTCATGTTCTACCTGATCCTCTGATCTTAATTTAAATAATGGGCAATCTGATGCAATCTCTTATATCATTTAGTTCTCTAATAATCAAAGGCAGTCAAGGTACTACATAAAATGAATGAAATTGAGGAGAAAGGGCTCAACATCCTTTTTCTAATAGTTTCTGACCTGTGCTTTTTTCAATCTGACCAGTAGTGATTGGCTTGGGCACCGATGCTCACCTTCGGGAAACTTGCCTATCCTCATGTCAAATAAATGCACTTTAACCACCAGTGGGAACTTATTGTTCCCTGGAGTCACCCTCTGTAACCAGATAAACTGCTGGTTAAACTTCTGGCTCCATGGATCAGCTTCCTGGAGCCAATCCTGGCAGAGGCCTCCCGTATCTGTAGACTGTTTCTAGACCAGCAGTGTGCTGTCAGAGCTCTCCTACTGCTTGGTGGTCACTGACCGCCCCTGCCCCATGTGACTGATTTTACATAAACTACATAGAAAATCGGCTTATGCTCACCTCTTGTATAATCACTGTTTCTCAAAGTATGCTTTTTGATGCAAATTCCACTTACATGCAGAAAACAGAGAGGAAGTTCACTTGTCCAGTTCTTAAAGTTTGCTGTCGTAGTGAGGCTACATTAAGTGACCACTTCATCTTCCTATGGACATAGTTGTGGTGGAGAGGTGCTGCCAATGGGCAACATTTACCTTGGTGCCCAGCCCACTGATAAGTGGTGGATATTTAACAAGTATTTGTTGGATGAATGAATAAATGATTATTTCAAAGTGGGCTAGATTTTTTTACAGCCCCACAAGATTTGGAAAAACACAGGAGGATGAAAAAGGATGTGAATTAAGTGCCAAAAGAATAGAAGTGACAGTCTACAACTAGCCATCTTTTGAATCATGAGCATATGTACAATCTTTGACAAGCCTTAGACTATTCAATGAGGTATTGGGAAAAAATCATGGAATTTTGGAGATAAACACAAATGTGTCTGAATCTTAACTTTGCTACTTACTTCTGTTCTACCCAGAGCAGATTATTTAACCTCTCTGAGGCTTAGTTTTCCTTCATTAAAATGGAGAAATTACTTTTGCCTTGGGAGCTTGTTTTGAGGTAAGTCATTTCATAAAGTGTGGATGTGTGTGTCTCAACAATAATAATAACTACAGAAGTACAGTTTTCTATATTTCTAGGAAAATAGAAAAATATTTTTCATTTTTTGAGTATCTTCTAGAAGACTTCATCAGGGCTGGAAGGTGTAAAAGCATTTTCATTAATCTTCCCACTAACTGTGCAAGGTGAATAGTAGCATTCCCATGATGCAAGTAATTAAATTGAGAGTTAGTGATATAAAGGATGTACACAGACCGCAGAGCTAACAAGTGTGAGAGCAGAGATTTTACATTAAATTTCTTCTCTAATTCCTGGAGCTTACCTGATTAATAAATATTTCTTTCTTTGACCCAAAGAAATGGAAATATACACAATTCTCTCTTTTCTAATTCATCTCTTTTTACCTCCTTCTATAGGGTGGTACCCTATTCCCCATAATAACCCCCAATAGGTTCAATGGTTTTGTTCATTCTGCTCCCTTATTTATAATCTAGCTGTGGACTCCATATGTGTGACATCATTGGATCACATACCTTTTCAGTAGGTTTGTTCTCTGTTATTTTGGGAGGTCAGATACCTAACACTGAAGTCCAGAGAGATTAGGGGATGCAGTACACTTTCAGAGCCATTGAGATAACTCAAATTTTCTGTAACCCAACCCAAGGGAGAAAACAAGATATAGCCTTCTAAATATGTAAGAGGATAACGGTTTTTACCTTCTGTCATGAATAGAGTGAGAGATTCTTTGGCCATGAATATATATGTGATGTCAGTGGGAACTTTGAATATTAAGGGTGGAGACGCCTAACTTGGATGACTTGACTTGAGAGCTGCTAGCAGAAGCTGGAAATGCTTATAACCATAGCTGAGTCAGAAGGATGTGAGCCGTGGACTTATGCTGACAGTTGCCTTTAATTAAAGGAGCCTGGCCCTATTAGATTCTGGCAAGTCAGCCTTTTAGAAAGTACCCTTTCTTTGGAAATCTAACTTTCCCAAGTTTTGTTTTTACTCAGCATCTTGGATTTTGTTTTTGTTTTCCATTTTCAGATTTATAATCGCTTAGATACAAATTGCTGTGGATTCAGACCTCGAAAGGAAGATTCCTGTGTACAGAATGGACTGAGGCCAAAATGTGACAACCAAGATTCCGTGGCTCTAGCACACATTATCCAGCGAAAGCATGACCCAAGGCATTTGGTCTTTATAGACAACAAGGGTTTCTTTGACAGAAGTGAAGATAACTTAAACTTCAAATTGTTAGAAGGCATCAAAGAGTAAGTCTTATGATGTAGTAACATCTGCAGGGCATCACATTTCTATTAAATAACTAGTAAGGTTTTGAGAAAACTCACATCCTATATCTGACTGAAGAATCCTTGGGAGGAATTGTGGATGTGCAGTCCAATAATGGAGCCCCAGAAGAAGGAGACAAACCCACAAGTGCAGCCAGGTTGCACCCTCACCAGCCCACAAAACTCCCTCCACATTTCACATCCATCCTGTGGGTTAGGTTGGACGTGTGCAGGGATCTCTGCAATGGGAACTGGCAGACCAGGAATTAGCAGGAGGCAGACATTCTGTTGTTAGGGCATGGGATAGAGGATATAACACACGTGCGGTTACTGACATGGCAGAATGTCCAAAGGCATAATTAACTAAAGTGACTCTCCTGAATGTGGTGGACAATTAGAGCCCATCTGCTGAGGAGAAGGCAGTATCAGAGGGCAGTGGCTGTTTAATTCAGGTAGGAGGGGTTTGAGCATTTGGAAATCCTTCCAGTAGACATACATTGTGAGAAAAAGTATCTTGAGGTTACATCTATTTGGAAATAAAGGAAATTAAGACACTTAACAGTGACAGGAACTAATAGTGGCAGAAGCCTGCTGTTGAGTCTGAGGTGTTGTTCAACTCCAGCTATGGAGATAGAGGCTAGTTTTCAGGCTCCAGCTCATAGCCATTCTTAATAGTTTTCCTACCTTAGTGGAATATCAGAGTGACTAAGAAATTGGGGTGTGTTTGAGACTTGAAAATAGAGGGGTGCTTTAGTAAAATAATTAACAAGCTGAGTGACTGCTGGACAGTATATATGTAAATCTAAAAATGGAGGTACAGCCCAGGTCTTCCAAATCCAAGTCCAATAACTTTTCTGCAATAATTTGTGGTGTTCATGCTGTTACTATTGCTCATGTTAGTAATACTCTAAAGTATATTTCAATAGCTCTTCCTAGCACTGTAAGAAATTATGTAATGTGGATTTTTATGTACTTTCAACACTAGAGAAAATACTGTTCCTGTGAGTTTCATGATATATTTTGCATATCTTGCCTGTTAATACTCCTTCCTCACATGTCTTGGTGAAGAATTGAAGGTAGAATATATGGCAGAGTCTCTTTCAAGTCTCTAAGCAAAGCAGATTTTTACGTGTAGGAAAATTTACATACCTAAAACATCATTTACTGAATTCATATTATGGGATCTTCTTAAATGCCTCTATTTCCTCTTAGAATTAAAAATGCTCAGAGAATACAATCCATCCATTACATACACTCATATAAATGTGAGTATTATTTTGGTTAGCCTTGCAAAGAAGATTTAATTTTAAATGCATTGTGAGGAGTAATGAGTTTAAAGTTAAATCCTCTTTGAATATGTAATTCACATGCTGTAAAGTAAAAATGAAGACTTTGCTAACCCAGATTTACACATAGAATATTCCTATTAATCAATATAATGCAAGGACAGGTAGTATTTTGATTTTACTTTATGTAAAGGATTAATCGTGAAAGAGATCCACAATTTTAATAGTTTCATCTCATTCTGCCACAGCTAAATTAGTTGAAAGGCATAGAATTTATAAATCATGGATTGTTAATACTTCATAGAGCAAAATGCTAGCTTAACCAATATTATGGCCACTAAATTGTATAGTACATGTCTTCAGGGAGCTCAGAGCATCTTCCCAGTGTTATTTAATTCCACATTTCCTCAGACCCTGAGGCCTTTGGTATTTCCTCAGCATCAGAAGTGTTGCACACCTGCATCCCTTGTGTTTGCGCCCTCGAGTGCTATCCTCAGCTTGCTACACTGAAATTAGGAAAAATACTAGGAAGGCCTGAACCTTCTGGCAAACTGTACTCTTCAAGCAAGTATATGTTCTTAAGTTCTTATGCTCATTTCTAAGGAACAGCTATGTTTACATGAAAGTTACTATTAACCTCCAATATTTTTCCTTCGCTTTCATCAGCATATTAAGGAAAGCTGGAAGAGGCCAAAGCAAAACATGACTTAGGAGAATGAACCATAAATTTATTTAGTCTTTCAGATAATGTTTGTGTTTTATACTTTCTGAATGAAGAGCAGAATACACAATGCACTCTCTTAAGGTAATTTAGCAAGGACCCTTCTAAAATGGGCCTCAGGTTTTCCAGAAAGATGGTTCCTTGTGGAATGCCTCGGCTCTCTGTCTTCAGTTTTGCAACGTCTATTTGAAAGCAATTCAGTCTTCCAGTTTAATAAAATGCTTCCTGATCCTTAGAATTCCTGAAGTATAATCTGAATCAAAAGCAGTTCTTTTTTTATTTGGGCATTTTGGAATGGTTCCTTTCTCTTTTTTTACTACATACATTTGGGATTATTTCACATTAACTTTAGTCATGCAGCTTCTACTCAGAGAGAATACTTTACTGAAAATGTCAGCATTTTGCTTCTCATATTTTCTTACATAAAACCCCACATTGACACTTACGAGGACACTATTCTAGTCGACAGTTTAAAATGGTTTCTGTGGCTGAAATGGAGCTGAAAACTGAGGAAAGTATTTCTGCCAGCCTAATAGGATCTTTTTATTCCTGTGTCTCTCTCTGCATACATGCAATGACGTTAAGTAAAATGTTAGTATGACAAGTTCTCAATGGTACTGAAAATTCAGTTCCGTTGAAACATCGTCTTCTAGTTTATTATTATTAAGAGAAGTGTCAGCTTGACAGTGACAAAAATGTTTTGATTCTCAAAGTGCTATTTAATAGTGTGATTTATGCCAGATTAATGAAGAGCAGAGCAATTGGGTAAGGCATAATATTTCCCAGAAATTGCTAAAAATGAACTCTCATTCTATCTTCTCAGGTTTCCTGAATCTGCAGTTTCTGTTTTGAAGAGCCAGCACTTACGGCAAAAGCTCCTTCAGTCTCTGTTTCTTGATAAAGTTTATTGGGAAAGTCAAGGAGGCAGACAAGGAATTGAAAAGCTCATTGATGTAATAGAGCAGAGAGCTAAAATCCTTCTCACCTACATCAACGCCCATGGGGCCAAAGTGCTACCTATGAATGAATAACAAAAGGGTCTCCTGGATAGAAAACTAGATATATGTACACATTCTTGTTTGTGTTTTCAAATCAAGTACACACACCTCAAGTCCTTTCAGGAATGAGGCAGTGTAGATGAATACATAAGATAAATGAATTTCACCAACTATGTATGATGGGCCTAAGCACTGTAAACAGACTTAAAAAGGTTTTAAAAAACATACTGCTCAAGAAATGTTTCTGTTTTTCTCTAACATCATGTCATGTTGAGTCTCACTAGTTGATTACAGAATGGTAGCAGTCATTATTCCAGTTAGCTTTGTTGAAATATTTGTCGTGTCACTGAATAGAACAGTGTAAACCAGAGGTGCATACTCCTTTGATAAACTGTATTTCATGCCTTTCTGACTGGTTGACCAAATTCTAATGGGAATGATGCTTGACCTAATTCTGTTGCTGAAAGTTAAAACAAAGCAGCCCTAACGCTACCCAGAGGCAATCTTACCCTGGAAGACTCAGGCACGTGAGCTGCAAAAACATGAGCACATACCATAATTCTAAATAGAAGTGGTAGATTATTTGCAAAGCCACCAGGATATTATCTTTTGCATCTATACATAATCAGCCATCTCTGAATCTGAGCAGCAAGAATCATACTTCCTTTTCCTTTTCAGAAAAATTTTTGGTTGTATAGAAATCATACAAATCTGATGGTTTATACATTAGGTAGTTTTGCTTTCTCAAGTTTGGTCCAACTTATGTCTCATAGCTTAGAAATTAAACAGTTTTAAGGCATGAAATCACCTATTTGAAGATGTAGTTGTAGAGTGCCTTTTTTGTAATGGGTGCTCTTTTTCAAAACTTTGTCATTTCTACAAAGGATATGTTATCATTTCTGTGTCTTTTGTTAGTAAATTGTGGATTCCTTCAAATTTGTTCTGTGTAATTATATTCAAACTGATTTAATTGATATGGCCTAGATATTGACAATAGGACCAAATAATGAGTGTATCTAAATATATTGTTTGGCTTATGCCAAATAAATTAAATTAAAACCTGATTCTGGCCAGTTCTCCTCAGTGAAGCAAATGACTGGAACTAAAACTGAATTTGGACAATATTAAGCCTCAAATAGTTCTCAGATTCTTTCTACTAACTTTTTAATTAAGTGGAAGAAAGTGGGCATTTAGTATTCCTGTGCTGGGTCTTCATGTCCTTGGAAGAGACCCATTCCATTCCACCCCCACACAGCCCATCCCTGATTTAAAACCCGATATACTGACTTCTTTCTGAGTGTTTAAAAATGCAATTTAAGAATACGAGTATCTTCTGTTTCCTCAGTTCTGTGTATCATTGCTAAAGTGTACCCCATTTTCTGTGTTCCCTTCAAGGGTAACTCAATATCATTGTAAATTAGAACTATCAAAAACATTTCAATAAAACTAAGTTTTCAAAAAGAGCATATCTATAAATTCCAGCTTATACAAACGTATAGGGACAAAATGTCAAAATTACATAGTAAGTACAAGAGAAGATAGATCAAGGAAAAGCAGATCATTCGATCCCTAATTATAACTTCTCTAGGCCCGCAGTCAAGTACTACTTTTAGTCCCCTCGTCTGCAGCCCCGACCCTGGGAGAGTTGGTCCTCAGATCATTCTCCTCTTTGTTTCCTCTCCATGTCCCTGAGTGCCTCCCTCTAGTCCCACACATTCAGAATTCTCTGACTGTCCTGCATCTCCACTTTTACAGGCTGTATTTGGGCTTTTTGTGATCCCCCTTTCTCTCATGAATTGGCATATTAGTGAAAAGTTGCCCTAAAAAATGTTTGGAGACCGAAAACCAAAAGGTTTTGAGCTGCTGATTTTAAGCGACTCTTTGTCAAGTTGCCTACACTTTGTCTTATCAAGGGGGCATAAGTGCATTTTAAATATGCTTTTTTGGACTATACCATCTTTATCCAAACCTCTGATATTGGTGGTGGGAATTCCAGGTGCCTTAGAAGCGAGCTTTAGTTCTGTGTCTCCAGCCACATTGCTTTGGGGCAGCTTGGTCCTCCCGTCTGTGGGCCGGACTTTTGTTTATTTGCCTCCAGGCAGTCCGAAATGCTTAATATTAAACAAAAGGTCCAGGAACACATTTTTATTTTAGTCACCTTTGCTTTTTAACAATGTATTCTATAACCAGTGAATAAGTCATGCTGTATCATTTTTGAATAATGGATAGCTGAAGGCCTGGCTTTTAATTCTAATAAGCCATGCTCCTCTTTTCTCTTACTGAAACAGTGAGAATACTCTGTGCCTTTCACATGTACTCAAGATTATGCTGTGGTTTGGTTCACATAAGCACATTATGTGGTGTATTTATAACTTGATAAATTTAAAATAGAACAATTTATCTTGGCAGACTTGCAAAAGCCTATTCTTGTGTGATTTATTTTCTTTAAGCTGATGATATGAAAATAATGACATATCTTAAAAATCCATAATAAAAATATAAGATGTGTGCTTTTGAATTATAGATGGGTTCATTTTTTTTGTGGATGGGTTATTTTCAGATGTTAATAATAGGGGAAAGTTTGCTATCTTCATCCGTGATAAAAATTGCATAATCAAGAATCATATTGGATTGTTTATTGAAGGATGGATTTTATATTCTTAGTGATATTTTGCTTTCCTGGTGTACATGTAGCATTGTTTTATGTGGTATGTACATTAGTCAACATATCATAAACAAAATATTTAATATTTGGTTTTCTTTGCTTGGGATGAGTCTTACAATTATGTTTAAGTTTTCTTCATAGCATTCACATTTATTAAGTTTCTTAGGTATCCTGAGAGTTTATTGAAAAACAAACTACTTAGACTTATGCTTAAAATATTTATAATCTCTAAACTTGTGTAATAGCTTTTTTATTCCATGGTACCTTTAAGTATACATTAACCTGGGTGTAAATTCGTCTACACACTGTCTTAAATTCTAATGTTTATCTTAGCACAAAACAGTGTAAGGCACATTCAGGGCACTAGTCTGAAAATATGATATGGAAATTGTACGTGGGCCAAATAAAGATCATAAAGACCTCTCCCTAAAAACTAAATAGCATCATCAAGAATTAAGTACCTTTATTCATAAAAGATAATTCAACTTGTCAGGAAAGTTGTCTGGCACTTGGAAATTGTCAGAAGAGATTTTTGAATGTTGTTTCAGTGCACTGCTGGGCTTGCTTTTGTATTGAATAGGCTGTTTAACAGTGTTGTGGGGCAGAGGTTAACTTGTAGATTTTTATCCCTCAGAGATGCAAGTAATTTCTTTCTGGTGAAAAAGCCCTAATGGTTTTATAGTTTATTACCCTGTTGAACATTAACCAGTTAATATCTAGTACAGCAATCTTATTCTAACATTGCCTGAATTTATTTAGCTTTTGAAATATTCTTTGAAATGGTTTTACCATCATACTGGTTCCCTTGTTAATTAGCTATTTGAATAAAACCTTTGATATATGTTCATTGTACATTTACATAGGAGTTGCGGTGTTATCCTTTTGATAATTTTGCTTTAATAAACATTTGATGGCAGTCATATAATTTTATTTGCTTAAGAGTCATGATTTTGAATTTTTGAGAATTTTACTTTAACAGACTCCTAAAACACAGTTATATACTTTAAGAAATGAATGGTACTATGCTATCAGCATCTTGGGTATTTCCATTTAATCCTTTAATTATTAAAGATTGTCAGTTGATTACCTACTTGAAAGGTTGGACTCAGTAAGGTTGCTGACAGACTCTGTTTTGCAACCTAAACATATGGTAAATGAATGAAGCCATAGAAATCCTTTCTTACAGCAGCATTGCATATGGTTAATTTAGTTCAACATTGTTTTTCTTCTTAAAAAGGTATCCTTTTACCCTCATGATTCCGAAGTTCATTTGAGTTTGTTGATAAAAATGTGCACAATTACATGCACAGTAAGAAATCTCTAGGCATTTTCTTTGTAAAAATGTAGTCTGTGTTGTACTTGTCAAGATTTCTAAAGCTTTTGGGAGAAAGAGCTAAAAAATAAAGAAAACCTCCCTTGTCAGTGGCTTTAATGACATGCTGCCAAATAGCTGGCTGTGCTATGTTTCAAAAAGCAAACTGGGCTGCAGAGAGTGGGACCAGTCACTAAATGAGACTGAAACAGCTGTGATTTTGCAAGATGTGCCAACATTTTCCTTAGCTCGAGGACACCAGACTTTATTTGGCTTATAAAGTACCCTATGTTATTGGCTCAGCTTCTGTTTAGGAGAACAAGCGATCTGGTTATGTAGCCTTGTTTCAGGCCCTTAAGAGTATTAAAAACTTAGGTCAACATTTTTTTTTTTACCTCATAGTACTCTAAAAAGAAATACATGATTCAGGTACCCTCTCTAATTTTGTGAGATACCTTTCATTAAGCTTGCAAGATTCAGGTCTTACTAGAATGATAAAATAATTTGTAGCTTCTCCTAGGAGTCAGTCTTCCTCTCAATCAGGTAACAAGTGCCAGTTAAAATATAGGACTTTCCCACGTTTCAGCAACTATTAGGGCAATGCTTTTTGCTCTTGGTGTGTCATTTCCTTTGTCTTACTCTTAAATTGTTGGCTGCAATAGAGATAATATGTTGTGTTTAAAGAGGAGTAACATGGCAGCATTGGGTAACAAATTCCTAATTAAAGATACAAATTTCTAAGTAAATCTTGATGTTAGCCCAGGTTACCTCCTAGACACCAGTAGTAACACAACCAAAAATATCTCCAGAGATTGCAAAAGAAGAAAAAAAAATGCCACATGAGGAAGCTTGGGCTCCGGAATAAAATTTCTAAGTGGTGAATAAATCTAGATGCATATGACAAATTAAATATCAGGAATGGGTGGTGGTTGCAGATATAAGTGTTGAAAATCTATGATTTACCTTCCTCTTTCCTAGGGCCCAATATCTTGTATTCTTTGAAAAGATGACTAGAATATAAATAAGCCATACACTCACCAAGGACCCAAGAGCCCTGTGGGAACTGCCTCTGACAGAGGGTCAAAAGAAGTGGAGGGATTTTCCTTAAGAGCAGGAGAGGAAGAAGAGTAGCAAGTGCATTGAAGTGAAATTGTTTGGCTAATACAGCAGCCAATGCACAGGGCAGAATCATAGCGGGGAAACAGAGGAGAAGGATGGACTATCAGCAGTGCAGGCTAAAACGTTGCAGTAAGAAATGCTATCAAATCTCAGTGGTTTAAAACAACAAAGGTAGATTCCTCACAGTATCTGGTCCATCACCGCTTGGCAGGAGGGCATTGCTTTGCATAAACACCTAGAGACCCATGCTGATGAGGCAGCCTGGATGTTTCCATTTCTGTGCCTGAGTGAAAGTTGCATTTCTAGTCAACTCACTGGGCAAAAGCAGTCTGGCAAGTGGGGAAACTTGAACTATCTGGTAACATTGGTAACTAGGGCAAATTTAGCCTAAATCTATTATTACATATTCTTCTGGGGTCCACATCCCATCCCATCTCAGTGCACTTTGGCCTGGGTATCCAGGTTGCAGTTGATAGGGGCAGTGATGTACGTGTGGCTTGAGCTGGGGCAATCACAGTCTCTGTATTCAGCTCTGTTTCCTGTCATAATTGGTTCAGAATTGAACACCTGACTTAACTGGGTCAATCTGAAAACTTGCCTCAGAATTTTGGAACTGAAAAAGACAAAAAAGAGAGGAAAGACACAAGCAGAACCCGCGGAGGTGCTGACGGGGAGGTGGCGAGGTCTGGCGCCTCTGGATGCCTTTGCCCTAGTTGCTCTGGAGGCCCCGTCCAAGTCTGGTTGCCTGGAAATGACCCAATATCCTTTTCAAATTCACCTCTTTGCTTCAACTTACTCGAGGTTGATTGTTTTTTCTGATACTTGAAAGGAATGGAAAGTCTGTAACTGGTTTCTGAGGAATTAGGTCTCTTTCTAACTGACCCGTTTTAGAGAGCATATCATGGTTTCTTTCCACAAGAAATAAGTTAATGCTCTTAAATTTTCATCCCCCACTTTTTTCCTCACAACCTACTTCTAAAATATTTATTATCATGCTTACATTGTCCATCTTCTTCATACTGACCGCTTGGCTTCCACATTGTCCCAGGTGCCTCAGTTCCGTGTTTGAATGGATTTCCTGCCCACCATCAGTTAGTTTCCTTTGTCCTGGGGTGTTTGAGTTTGTTTTTCCTCATTCTACTTGGCTGACTGGCTTTATCATCAAGGATGATGGAATAAGTTCCATATTCGCTGAGTCTCCTCATTTGGGAATAGCGTTCTGTTTTGTTTATGTACATAAACGACAGCTTGGTGGTATAAAATTTGGATTCCATACATTATTTTCTTCTCAAAACAAAATGCGTTTGAAAGTCTGCAGCCATTGTAACACTGTCACTAGGCATTGAACATTGCAGGTTAGATTTCAGAGGCCAGCCTGCATGTCTTTTCCTTCTAACTAGTAGGTGATTTCCTTTGGTACTTTTCATGCACATTGTGTTCTTTCTTTCTTTTTTAATTTTAATAAATTATCAGGACATGTCTTAAAATTGGTCAACAAAATTTCCTGGAACACAACATGGAATTCAACATGTTTATACTTTCCTTCATTTCAGGAAGACTTTTATAATATATATTTGATTTTTTTTTTCATTCTGATTGTTCTCTTTTCAGGTAAAAAGATATTTAGTATACATTTTTTGCACTCTGCCTCTTAATTGTTGTATATTCCTTATTTGTTTACTTTCTGTATTTTTTCTTCACAAAATGTACTGTTTTCTCAAGTGTTTTCTTTATATTGTTACTTTTTTTCAGCAGCATCTATTCCACTTCCTACTGCTTCTAATTAGTCTCAATTTCTCTAATGATTTTATTATCTTCAAATTTCTTTTTAGAAAGCTCAGATTTCATCTTTCACTGCATTATTTATTAACTCTTTATTGGTATTTCATTTTTCATACTTTTTATTTGAAAGAGTTTTTCAAAACGTATTTGAAAAAAAATTTATTTGAGATTGTAAGGAATAGTTTCTGAAACTCTTCAAATTAAATAAAGTTAGAAGTTAATTTCCTCAGTCACACTTGTAACATTTCAAATGTTCATTTGCCACATGTGCTTAATGGATACTGTATCGTATAGGCCCAGATAAAGAACAATCTCCATCCTTGCAGAAAAGCCTATTGCCCAGTGTTGTGCAGAAGACTGGTCTCTGTGTATTGTGTGCGGCAGGGTTTGTATTTTCTGTTCTCAGCAGCAGTTGCTGTTGTTTCCCCACTTCTCTCCTCTCTTATCAGCCAGGCAGCATATCTGGGTAGCTTGGGCCACCATAACAAAGTACTGTGTCCTAGGTGGTGTTGAACAACAGGAATTTATTTTACACAGTGCTGGAGACTGGGAGTTCAAGATCAAAGGCTAGTGCCTGGGGTGGGCTCTCTCTAGAGGTGGCAGAGGGCCATTTTCTTACTGTGTCTTCATGTGGCCTTTCCTTAAAGTATGCAGATGGAGAGAAAGGGAACAAACTCTTGGGCGTCTCCTCTTGTAAGGGCATTAATAACACCAGGAGGGCTCCACCTTCACTATTTCATCTAAACCCCCCAAAGGCCCCATCACCTAATACCAACACACTGAGGTTAGGGCTTCCATACATGAACTCTGGGGTGACACAATTCAGTCCATTGCACTAGCCCTTCATAATTCATGTCCTCTAATACAAAATACATTAGTTTCATGCAAATAGTCCAAAAAGTCTTAACTTGTTCCAGTGTCAACTCTAAAGCCTAACGTCCAAAGCCTTATGTAAATATTAGCTAAATCACATGAGGGGGAGACTTGAGACACGATTCATCCTAAGCAAAGTTCCTCACCAGTTGTGACCCTGTAAAAACAGACAAGTTATGTGCTTTCAAAATACAATGGTGGGACAGGCGTAGGATAAACATTCCCATTCCAAAAGGGAAAAATAGTAAAGAAGGAAGGGGGACGGATCCCACATAAATCCAAAACATAGAGAAGCAAATCTCACTGCTTGTAAGTCTGGAGAATAACCCTCTGACTTTACGTCCCACCTCCCAGGCCCATTGGGGTAGTGGAAACCTCACCCCCTCAGCTCTGTGGACTGACCCTGCTCCTTCAGTCTGCCCCTGCCCATGTGGCTCTCGGAGAGGGTCCTGCTTCTCCCCTGAAGCAGGGGCTGGGGAACCCTGGGAAACCGGGAGGAGCCAGTTCTGCTCCCTGGGCCTGTGGTGGAGGGGCAGCCCTAATGGTCACTGACTAACCTTCGGCATGATTCTCGCCTTTCCTTGAGGAGGCGCGTGCATTCACAGCGAAGAACCTTACTGTCCCGTCTTGGAGAATCACACAGCTGTGAAGGCTAAGAAGCCTCATGATATGTAGTCAGCAAGTTGGGCAGCTTTCCTCCACTCTGTCCTGCTTTCTCTGTCCCTTTTGTTCAGACTATCAGTATCTTTGGTATAATACCATTTTCTCTTTATTAGCTGTCTTAGAAACCTTTTATTTTCAAAGAAATCTACAGAATGCTTTCTGTTTTTGGTAATAGT